ATGTTTCCTGTGCCTGGTGGTTGCCACTGGCAACCAAGCAGGTTTATCACAGTGGTTATAACATAGCACTTACCTTAAAAGTGAACTAGTATACTAGCAATCAGACTGGCTCAACCAGCAGGAGACCTGCTCTGGCATTAACTGTAAGGTAAGGCCAAATATTTAACCTCTCTATGTCTTAGTTTCCTAACCTGGAAATAGTCCTATTCATGGACAGTTTAAAACTGATAAAGTGGGATCCCTGGGTGGCGCAGTGGTTTGGCGCCTGCCTTTGGCCCGGGGTGCGATCCTGAAGACCCGGGATTGAATCCCACGTCAGGCTCCCTGCATGGAGCCTGCTTCTCCCTCTGCCTGTGTCTCTGCCTCTCTGTCTCTCTCTGTGTGACTATCATGAATAAATAAATAAAATCTTTAAAAAAATAAATAAATAAAAATAAAACTGATAAAGTAATTTGAATCATATCAACAACCTCAGGCTGTCTGGGTAAACATAAGGAATTTTCAGCCCCCACCCTCTGACCTCTGGGAGGGGAGAGGTCCTAGAGACTGAGTTAATCACCAATAGCCAATGATCTAATCAACAATGCTATGTAACAGATGCTCCATAAATATCCTAAAGGATGAGATTTGGAGAGTTAGTGAACACATCAAGGGTCTGGGACTATGGCATGCTCAGAGAGAGCATGGAAGCTGTGTCTACACAGCTGCTTGAAACTGCCCAATTCTTCTCTTCTGTTTGGCTGTTTCTGAGTTCTATTCTTTACAATAAAAAGGTAATTGGAAAAGAACTGTTTTTCCTGAGTTCTGTGAGCTATTCTAACAAATTATTGACTCTGAGAGATAGAGTAATGGGAACTCCCAATTTACAGCCTGTAGGTCAGAAGTAAGGTAACCCAGACTTGAGACTGGTGTCTGAAGCAAGATAGAGAACAGTGTGGCAGAATGGAGCCCCTTAACTCTGGGTTCTGTGCTAACTCCATGTAGTTAGTATCGGAATTAAATTAAATTGTAGGACAGCTAGTTGGTGTCCATAGAAAGATGAAGAATTGGTCTAGGAAATGCACACATTTGGCATCAAGTATCATAAAAATAAGCAGACTGTGTAGAATAGGCTAAGACAATTGTAGACTTCAGAATGAATTAGTTACAAATTAACATAAGTACATAAAAATACCAAAAGCTGGGGAAAATAGTTAATTGGTTATTAAAATCTGTGAGATAAAAAAATCATCGATGCCAAATATATTCCCAAATAAATTATTTGTTGATGTTCTTAAATAATCAAAACTGTACACAACTAAATATTTTCTAATACATGACAACAGAAAGCAAGGATCCCTAGAATTACTGTAGGTACACCTATACTTAGGAATACCACCTACTACTCTTTATCCTTTCTTCCTTGGCATGACTCAATTCATTAAAATAGACAGCTTTTCAAAATTTTCCTCTACATCCCAGAATACATCATTTAAGATTGCTATCTTCACCAAAACACCACCTATTCAGGAAGGCTTCTTAATTATGGCAGCTTAATAAAGGGGAATAAGCCCAAGCATTAGGATCTGACAGATCCATCCTGGAATTAGTCTCTCATCATGCATGACCTTGGGCTAAACTTGTCCCACCCTCAGATTTCTCAACTAAAATAAGAATAATAATAATAAATGCAAAGTTGGATTGTTGTGGGAATTAGAGCTAAAGCAAGGATAATGCCTGGCATATGGTAGATGTTCAAGAAACACTAGTTATATATAGTACTTATAGAGCTGGTATTTGCTTAAGTATATAATTACTCCATGAATATTAATTTCTTTTTCCAACTATACTGTAAGTTCAATGAACACAAAATCTTTTTTCTTTTTTAAGGTTTTATTTATTCATGAGAGACACACAGAGAGAGAGACAGAAGCAGAGACATAGGCAGAGAGAGAAGCAGGCTCCTCACAGGGAGCCCAAAATGGGACTTGATCCCAGGTCCCCGGGATCCAGCCCTGAGCCAAAGGCAGATGCTCAACCACTGAGCCACCCAGGCATCCCGAACACAAAATCGTTTTATAGTACTTCTTTTGAATGTTTCACAGTCTACTAGACCAGTTGGTATATAACCAGTTGGGTAACATAAAACCTAGTTTCACACCCCTAGAATCATAGGTGCATTAAGAGTTCCTGATAATCGGCAAGAGGAAGAGATGAGACTGCTTTAATTGCAAAGATAATGGTGGCCATCAAACAACTGTTGTGACTAAGGAGAGGGCAACATGAAAGATTCCTGATTGGCTGACATCTGAAGGCATGTAGGTATCCATGGAACGGGAGAATGGAAGCCCTTGAATGAAGTCTTAGGCTGAACCAAACTCTGAAGAGAGTTGAAGGAATTTGGAGTTTGGAAGAAGGGTGGATTATGGTGATTACAGACAATTTTTTTTAATTTTTTAATTTATTTGTGATAGTCACAGAGAGAGAGAGAGAGAGAGAGAGAGAGGCAGAGACACAGGCAGAGGGAGAAGCAGGCTCCATGCACCGGGAGCCCGATGTGGGATTTGATCCCGGGTCTCCAGGATGGCGCCCTGGGCCAAAGGCAGGCGCTAAACCACTGCGCCACCCAGGGATCCCGATTAAAGACAATTTTAAAGAGAGTTAGATGCCAGGGCTTCTTTTGTTAAAAAAAAAAAAAATGGCTTGAGGAGGTATGAGAGTAGAGGCAGCTCAAAGATCTGAGTTAGGCTTAGAGTGGCTCAAAGCAGATGAACTTTCATCCAAGAGTAAGACCCACACAAAAGTAACTTCATTTTCAACCCCCCAAGAAACATCAATGAATCTGGCCTGGTCTGGTAGTAGTGTTAAGTGTTTTGAAGAAAATATTTTTATAAATATTAAATACTTTATAATTCTCAAAAAATCGTTTATATTATTTGAAATATATCTGTTTTACATTAAGAGCAGATAATATGTGCTTCTACATTTCCATCGAAAGCCTAGATTGAGAAGTTGCTAGAGATATCTAGATTGATTTATTAATACACCATACCAGTATTTCCCCTAAACGATAACAACAACCATCTTTAAGCATCTATAATGTATAAAGCAGTGAAGAGAAACTAGGAGCTGTCAACCAAAGCAATGACTGTTCTTTCAGTAGCAGAAAAAAACAAACAACAGAAAAAAAAAACATGGTCAGAGAAATGAGAGATGTGCGGTTACAAAATTAATTTTATTTTCAATTTACCAAAGCTCCTCAGAGTTAAGGGGCCTTTTTTAAGCCTGAATATGAAATTTTATCTTGATATGACAGTGGGTTGCCTAAAGCTCAAAAGGAAGAGAATGAACCAGGACCCAAATGTAAAGCAATGAACAGGGCAGCCCCGGTGGCCCAACGGTTTAGCAACACCTGCAGCCCAGGGCGTGATCCTGGAGACCCTGGATCGAGTCCCGCGTCAGGTTCTCTGCATGTGGTGCCTGCTTCTCCCTCTGCTTGTATCTCTGCCTCTCTCTCTCTCTCTCTCTCTCTCTCTCTCTGTCTCAATAAATAAATAAAGTCTTAAAAAAAAAAAAAGTAAAGCAATGAACACAGCTCTTTCTGTCTCCATAGACAGAACTGTGTGTTTAAGTTCTAAAGAGGGAGTCTCAATGACTTTGGGGCCTGGAAGAGTAGTGAAGGGGCCTGGGACTACTTTTCCAAGCTCTTACACCAGTTCTAATTAGAGTTGGAAGACTCCAGAGTTAAAATAAGTAAAATAATAAGAGTCTATATTGTAAGCTGCCTAAAAGTGTATCTGTCTGCATACATACCTATGTCTTCAAATTTACTCCTAAGAGCTTTAAGAGACTTAAAGATCACTTAGTTTACACAGATATTTAAATAAAGTGTTATTTATTTTTTTAAAAGTGAGGTGCTGCACTCTGGGATTTATCTTTCTTTCAACTCTCCATATTTGAGGAAGGAGATTTATCACCAGTCCTACAGATCAACCCGGGGGGGGGGGGCACAAAATGGTAGTAGACACCAGAAATGTCTCAGAAGACAGAAAACACCTGTTGGGAGGAAATGCGAGTTTATAGCTCAAGTCAATTTGAGTGGCAGAGGCACAAATGGACAGGAAAAAGGGGCCAAAACTTACTGTGGAAAAGTTCCACACCATTCTGCCCATATATCACACGATAAACAAAAAGGGTTTACTACATAATTCTCTCTTGGTATGACTAATTTTCACCTCATTCTTCCATTACCTTGAACCTGTTAACTCACACATATTTTTCTTCTGTTTCTCACTTACTATTCTCCTAATTATCTCCCTAATTCTTTAACTTAAAGAAATTTTGATCTTCTGCAGCAGTGGGAAGAGGCAGAAAGTTAGCCAAATGGTCTCAAAACTTATTGAGAAACCTTCTGCATAGATGAAAACCTTGTCTAAATATTTTATTTCATTTGTTTTGTTTTGTTTGTGTGCTTAAACATAACTCATAGAACTGAGAAAACAAAGTCTGTGGAGTATAAATAGACCATGTTCCAAGTTTTATCTGGGGCTTTTTATAGAGACCAAACCTAAGTTTTCCCTATATATGGTAATTTACCTTCTTCTTTATAACGCCCTGGACAGGACTCTTCCTATAACCTAAAAGGCTAGATTCACTTTGCCTATTTTGTAGATTACAAAAGTGGCATTGAGGTTTGCACAGATTGTTCAAGGTCATACAGATGATAAAAGCAGAGCCTGGCTTCTCGCAGAGTTCCTCCTACCACCAACACAACACATATTTGGATTTTCTTTCTTCTGAAGACTCTAGGAAGTATGACTTGACAACAAGGCATAATTCTGTCTCCATACCTTAAAGAGACATCACTCTACTGTCTTTGAAACAGAATTTTCTACGCAAAGAACCTGGAAATGGAGCCTGTGGACCCCATGGGGACAGAACAAGGCAGAAAGCATTTCCCTTACATACATTTATGTTCAATGCCCTAGACTGAAGTACATTGTCATTTCAAAGTCACTTACCCAAATCTGAAGCTTGATTCTCTTTTCATTTTTGAATACAGTTTTTACTTTGAAATCGATCCCAACTGTGCTGACGAATGCAGATGTAAAAGAGTCATCCGCATAGCGGAACAGGAAAGATGTTTTCCCCACACTGCTATTGCCAATGATGAGCAGCTTGAACATGTAGTCAAAGTTCTGATCAGAGGAGTCTTTCTGGCCATACCTGGCATCTTGGGAAGAGGCCATCTGTGGTTAAAAGAGAGAGAGAATGTGAGACATGTGGATCAGTCTTCCATTTGATATGAAGTTAGCAGCACACTCATTATTGGCCCTGCCAGAAACAGATGTCAGACCACTCAGGAGACCAGTTGAGAATCCTCCCCAGTTTTCCTCTGATGATGGTATCCATGGCAATAATTCCCTGCTGGAAGACAGAACAGCAAATCTTACAGCTCTTTCCAGCTGTGTTGGTGTTTGTCACTGCTCAGCATTCAGAACCAATCAAAGACACCAAAGGAGACATCTATAAGGGTTACATGAAAAGCAAGATATAAGGAACTGGCTAGAGCATGTGGGCTCTGAAACTTTATAATCCCAGTGATGGACACACCAAAATGGCTAGGCAGTAGAGTGTTTCTTACTGAATTATCTAAATATTAGAGTCTCTCTTATTTCCTAGGAAAGTGCACCCGAAGTGTGTATCCAGTTCATCTATCAACATCACATTAAACCAACATGCCAAAATAAATGGCAATCTCTTTCAAATTAAAACTGACGATGGCAGGTATTTATGTGTGAGAAACTTACTCAACTCTGACAACAACCCAGTGAAGCAGGTTCATACAAAAATGAGAAAATTGAGGCCCAGAATTATTAAGTAATATGCTCAAATTCACACAGGTGATGAGTAGTAAAAGAATTCAAATCAGGTAATGTTGTGACAGAGCTCATGTTCTTAACCTCTACCTTATCTCTCAATGATGAATAAGGAAATAGGCTAATGTGCTCTAAAAGACAAGGCAGGAAATATTCATTATGAAATATATCAGTGAAGAATCCTAGCTGGGTTCAAACCATGGCTCTACCACTTCCTGGCTGTGTGACTTTGGGTTGGTTTATTATTTCAAAATGGTGTGCTTCAGATTTTTCTCTTACATGAAATGGAAAAAAAAATATTATCTAACTTGGAACTCTTGTGAAAGAATAGATGATATATCTATAAAACAGATATGTGAAGCACCTAGCATAGCACAGAGAACGATCTTTATAAGTAATTATAAATGCTTTAGATGCTGATTTTTTCTTACTTTTTTGATGAATATCTTTTATTTTAAAAGATTTTTTAAAAATCTCTCAGGCAGAGGGGGGAGGGGAGGGAGCACAAGCAGACAGAGTGGGAAGCAGAGGGAGAGGGAGAAGCCGGCTCCTCACCAAACAGAGAACCCAATGCTGCCTTGATCCCACGACCCTGGGATCATGACCTGAGCAGAAGGCAGACACTACTGACTGAGCCACCCAGGCACCCCACATTTTTATGATCATCTTAATGTCCCCAAAGCTAATGCTGCATTGCTTCTTAAGGATTTTATTCATGTATTTTAGGGGGAGATACACCATAAGGTGTATCAGCCCAGGTATCTACATACTAAAGTAAACCTTCCCCAACACAAGCAGCCAGCCAAGGACAAAAACAAGACTATAACTCTGGACTATAAGTCTGAACAATGGTGTCTTGCTCTGACGACTTCTGAAGCCCCAGAAAGTCAGGACATGGTTTTGAGTGGCACCCCCATTCCTGCAGACATAGCCTTTTCACCAATTGATACTACCCACCCTTCCTCATGGAAGTGTTGAGTTCAGCCAGGCCTGCAAATGGCCTTTGTTAAGAAAATCTTTTATATGAACCAGCCCAGATGCTAGGTTCTGGGTTAAGAATGTTCAGCAAAGCCACATTCAGAAAACAGACACTGCAACTTTTCTAGAGCTCCCCATACTCAGCCTGATAGCCTACCATATATTGCACCCTAACACTACAAGATGGTATCCAACTGACTCCTGTGGATCTCTAGGATGCCTCACAAGAAAATGTGACAGATAGCTGCTATCAATCTCAAGTCGTATTCCAAAAGTGGATTCCAAAACCTGCAGCAGTATCAACAGCATCAATATATAGACTTTTTGAGTATAATTATAGAGATTTAGATGGAGAAACCTATGTTGGGGCTTTCTCTGGCATGAGATATTGAAGATGTTCAATTCTAAGGGCTGATACATTTTATGGTGTCAGCAGCAAAGAAGGTGGTGGGAGCGCACAAGGTGTCTAGGCTGAAAGAGGACTACACTGGTAAAGAGGTGTATCCAGAGCTTCTATAGGACTAATTAGAAGAATTTCTTAACATGCTATTCTCGGAGATACTTTTTTTTTTTTTTTTTTACTATTTCGTGTTTTATATACTCAGTAAGATTCACAGAGAGCCAAAAAAAAAAAAGTGCTTTGGAATGTACAGGTCTTTCATTAAGCTGCAGAATAATGATATAAATCTTGGCCCAGAGGATTGAGAAACTTCCTAATCTTACTGAACAGAAATTAAGCTGTTTGACAGCATATGAATGTGAAAGACACTTGTTGTCACTATGTCAATTTACTGAGACTTCTAAATACTAAGTAATGTGAACATTTTCATAGTTTTCATGGAAAAATATCGCTGAAATTTGAAAACATGAGTACAAATGAAATAACCTCCCAGAAAGTAAATCAGATTTCATAAAAGATATATAAAAGATAACTCTTGAAAAAAAGACAACTCTTTAAATTGTATTCATCTTGAATTAATTAAAAAAATCAGAGTTGGAAAAAATCTTCAAGGTGGTCCAACTTTCTATGTGGGCCAAGAATCCCTTCTGCAGGCATCTCAGCATCTCAGGCTAGGAGTCTATCTAGTTGGGCCCTTCACACAGAGTGACAAAAAGTTTATGAGTTTATAAAGTACCATATTCCGTTGCTGAACAACTCCAATTGTTATACATTTCTTTCTCAGATTTAAGTTAAAAACCTACTTCCCTAGAGCTTCTGCCCATGTGTTCTAGATTTTCCCTTGTAAATCAGGAGAGCTCATTCCTCTTCCAACAGAGAATTTCAGGTGACTAAAGGAACCTACCACAGCCCCATAAGCTTTCCCTTGCTGGATGATCCCAGCTGCCAAAAGCCTTTCCCCACACAAGTCAGGTCCAAAAAATCCCACACATCCTGCTAGGTTAAGCTGATATCTCTCCAGATGTCAAATTCCCATGTGTGGCTCCCAAAATTGGTCACAATACTCCAGATACAGTAGTACAGGGTAAAATGAGACTATTTTATTTTATCATAGCTCACTTAATGAGGTCTCCTCAAATGCTCAGGACATCTTTTCATGTTAACTGTAATAAACATAGGTCTCCCTTATGCCCATCCTATACTTGGGAAATTGATTTTTCTTTATGGAAATGCCAATCTTTATATGTACCCTAATTATATTTTATCTTGTTTGTTTTGATTTATAATTCAATTCTGATCTAATAATTTTATGTCCTTTCATCAAAAACATTGGTTATCCCTTCCAGATCTATGCCATTCCTAAGTTTGATCAGTATGCATTTTATAGATTCATTCAGGGCTCTGATCAAAATACTAATCAGCTTGTAAGACAAACAACAATAAAACTTCTACCCTATTGAATATATATAATTGTATAGATGAGACCTCTATAATATGTCACTAAGGAATTTGACAAATTTATTTATTTTTTTAAAGATTTTATTTATTTATTTATTTATTTATTTATTTATTTATTTATTTATTTATTTATGAGAGACACAGAGAGAAAGAGAGGCAGAGACACAGGCAGAGGGAGAAGCAGGCTCCATGCAGGGAGCCTGACGTGGGACTCGATCCCAGGTCTCCAGGATCACACCCTGGGCCGAAGGTGGCACTAAACCACTGAACCACCCAGGCTGCCTGAATTTGACAAATTTAAAGCAAATCCTTAAACTCTGGGAGTTGATGGATTGGGAAACCATTGTGCTGTCCCAGTAGGTGTGACTTGTTTCAACAGCAGGTGAACAGATTATGGATTTAATTGATGTGCCAGCTTTAATTTCAATTCTAGTTTCCCCAGAAGTTCCACTCACTAGGGACCAAACAGATTACCTCACTAGGGACCACATGCAATTACAGACTACTTCAGAACTTCTGACGTTTGTTTTTCAAAATAAATGGAAAAAGCAAATTATTTTCAGGGATTCCCCTGGGCACATAAGAATCTGAAGTATACTAAGCCATTTTGTGGATCTCATGAGAAAAACAAAAAGAAGTCTTTTTAAACATACTACATTCCCACTACTACTACCGATAACCGCCTGAGGATGAGTGGGAGGATGAAGGAGGGTAAATTATCCAGAAAAGGACATGTAGTTCTTTGAAACTGGAAGGATGAATGTGATGATGTGGCATATGTATTGGAAATGCAGAAATACATCAAGTAGTTTCAAATCTCAATCATGGTTGCCTGGGAAAAAAAGAAAAATCTAAATAATAAAAAAGACTTATTCCTGACAGTTCTGAAGTCCAAACTAAAAATTTTAAACCAACAAGGAAACTATGAAAAGTTAGGATTCCCGAATGTCTGTCATCTGGCCCTCAGGTGGTTTCTCCTGGGGAAGGTCCTGTTCTGTACAGTTTGTTGCCTACTTGGTTTGTCTCTCTGAATGGATCAGAATTGTGATGTTCTTTGCAGTCTCTGGCCAGCAATTTCTCCATGTGTGTGTCTGCTGCTCTTTGCTCTGGAATGAGCCAGTGGAGAAGCAATAAAACACTGCTCATGCCACTGTGGACACATTACCACTGAGCTGAGAGAATGCTGTCCAGGAAATTGGAAGCAGCCAAGGCACTAGATAATTCTAACTCTAACCCCATCTCTGAAGTGAAGGGCCTGGAAAAGTAGGGCAGCATTCAGAAATTGCCCTTGTCTCTTTTCTTTGTGTCAGCAGGGAATGAATTACTCTTTCATGAGGCTCATGGGAGAATGTATATGACGGTATGCCAAATGATAACAATGCTTCCCAGGTGCAAATCACTATTTCAAAGGCACTGCTTAGGCTACATTTTACAATTCTCCTTTTAGCCCATCTCTGCATCCCCATCTCCTCCATAGCTTCTCTCATAGATGAGTAGAACTCACAGCTTATTTACCGAAAGACAGCAAAATTGCTGCAATGGGCACTGT